GGATTAATTTTATTATTGAACAACAACCATGTTCTCAATGAACCCAAAAAACTCATTAATATCAAAGCTGAATATTTTTGGAAGTAGTTTTTAGTTTGTTTTTAGTTTTAGCTATGTTAGGGGGATATCTGTGTGTGCAGGTGACTATTACTGTGCATAATTATTAGGCAACTTAACAAAAAACAAATATATACCCATTTCAATTATTTATTATTACCAGTGAAACCAATATAACATCTCAACATTCACAAATATACATTTCTGACATTCAAAAACAAAACAAAAACAAATCAGTGACCAATATAGCCACCTTTCTTTGCAAGGACACTCAAAAGCCTGCCATCCATGGATTCTGTCAGTGTTTTGATCTGTTCACCATCAACATTGCGTGCAGCAGCAACCACAGCCTCCCAGACACTGTTCAGAGAGGTGTACTGTTTTCCCTCCTTGTAAATCTCACATTTGATGATGGACCACAGGTTCTCAATGGGGTTCAGATCAGGTGAACAAGGAGGCCATGTCATTAGATTTTCTTCTTTTATACCCTTTCTTGCCAGCCACGCTGTGGAGTACTTGGACGCGTGTGATGGAGCATTGTCCTGCATGAAAATCATGTTTTTCTTGAAGGATGCAGACTTCTTCCTGTACCACTGCTTGAAGAAGGTGTCTTCCAGGAACTGGCAGTAGGACTGGGAGTTGAGCTTGACTCCATCCTCAACCCGAAAAGGCCCCACAAGCTCATCTTTGATGATACCAGCCCAAACCAGTACTCCACCTCCACCTTGCTGGCGTCTGAGTCGGACTGGAGCTCTCTGCCCTTTACCAATCCAGCCACGGGCCCATCCATCTGGCCCATCAAGACTCACTCTCATTTCATCAGTCCATAAAACCTTAGAAAAATCAGTCTTGAGATATTTCTTGGCCCAGTCTTGACGTTTCAGCTTGTGTGTCTTGTTCAGTGGTGGTCGTCTTTCAGCCTTTCTTACCTTGGCCATGTCTCTGAGTATTGCACACCTTGTGCTTTTGGGCACTCCAGTGATGTTGCAGCTCTGAAATATGGCCAAACTGGTGGCAAGTGGCATCGTGGCAGCTGCACGCTTGACTTTTCTCAGTTCATGGGCAGTTATTTTGCGCCTTGGTTTTTCCACACGCTTCTTGCGACCCTGTTGACTATTTTGAATGAAACGCTTGATTGTTCGATGATCACGCTTCAGAAGCTTTGCAATTTTAAGAGTGCTGCATCCCTCTGCAAGATATCTCACTATTTTTGACTTTTCTGAGCCTGTCAAGTCCTTCTTTTGACCCATTTTGCCAAAGGAAAGGAAGTTGCCTAATAATTATGCACACCTGATATAGGGTGTTGATGTCATTAGACCACACCCCTTCTCATTACAGAGATGCACATCACCTAATATGCTTAATTGGTAGTAGGCTTTCGAGCCTATACAGCTTGGAGTAAGACAACATGCATAAAGAGGATGATGTGGTCAAAATACTCATTTGCCTAATAATTCTGCACTCCCTGTATATCACATGTTTATTCACTTATTACATAGTTACATAGTTACATAGCTGAAAAGAGACTTGCGTCCATCAAGTTCAGCCTACCTCACGTTTGTTTTTTGCTGTTGATCCAAAAGAAGGCAAAAAAACCCAGTTTGAAGCACAATTTTGCAACAACCTAGGAAAAAAATTCCTTCTTGACCCCAGAATGGCAGTCAGATTTATCCTTGGATCAAGCAGTTATTACCCTACATTGAATGATTATAACCTTGAATATTCTGTTCTTGCAAGTATGCATCTAGTAGCCGTTTGAACATCTGTATGGACTCTGATAAAACCACTTCTTCAGGCAGAGAATTCCACATCCTGATTGTTCTTACAGTAAAAAACCTTTCCTTTGCCTTAGACGAAATCTTCTTTCTTCCAGTCTAAACACATGGCTTCGTGTCCTACGTAAAGTCCAGTTTGTGAATAGATTTCCACACAATGGTTTGTATTGGCCCCGAATATATTTGTATAATGTTATCATATCCCCTCTCAGGCGACGTTTTCTAAACTAAATAGGTTTAAATTTGTTAACCTTTCTTCATAGCTGATATGTTCCATTCCTTTTATTAATTTTGTAGCCCGCCTCTGCACTTTTTCTAGTGCCATAATATCCATCTTTAGAACAGGTGCCCAAAATTGCACAGCATATTCAATATGGGGTCTTACCAGTGATTTATAAAGAGGCAAAATTATATTCTTGTCCCGAGAATGAATGCCCTCTTTCATGCATGACAATACCTTACTGGCCTTGGCCACTGCTGATTGACATTGCACATTGTTGCATAGTTTGTTGTCTATAACAATTCCAAAGTCCTTTTCATGTGTTGATATCCCTAATTCACTTCCATTAAGGGTATACGTTGCTTGTGTATTCTTTACGCCGAAGTGCATAACTTTGCATTTTTCAACATTAAATTTCATCTGCCATTTGAGTGCCCAGTCCCCCAGTCTATCTAAATCCCTCTGCAGCAAGGTAATATCTTGCTCACATTGTATTGTTTTACAAAGTTTGGTGTCATCTGCAAACACTGATACATGACTTTCAATGCGGTCTTCAAGATCATTTATAAACATGTTAAATAGAAGGGGTCCCAGAACAGACCCCTGAGGGACACCACTTGCCACCTCTGTCCAGCTTGAAAATTCACCATTAATGACAACTCTTTGTACTCTGTTTTTAAGCCAGTGTTCTACCCAAGAACAAGCATTTTCATCTAGACCGATTTCCTTGAGTTTGAACACTAATCTATTGTGTGGAACTGTATCAAATGCCTTGGCAAAATCCAAATAGATCACATCCATGGCAACACCCTGATCTATACTTCTACCTACTTCTTGAATGCAATCAAGTTAGTTTGACTTGACCTGTGCTTCATAAAACCATGCTGATTTTTGCTGATAACCATGTTCTTCTCAAGGAATTCTTGAATATTATCCCTTAATAACCTTTCAAATATTTTACCAGCCACAGAAGTTAAGCTCACAGGTCTATAATTTCCAGGCAAGGATTTTGAACTCTTTTTGAATATAGGAACCACATCTGCCTTCTTCCAATCCTCCGGAACACTTCCTGAAAGAAAAGAATCTTGAAAGATTAAAAACAGAGGTTCACTTATTTCTGCACTTAGTTCCTTAAGTACACGTGGATGGATACCGTCAGGCCCTGGAGCTTTGTTTATATTAACTTTCTTTAGTTGCTGCAGCACATTGTCTTGAGTTAACCAATTACAATTATTCTGCAAGGTTTTTAGTAGCAATGATTTGCACATCTATTGCCATGGGTTCTTCCTTAATATATACGGAGGAGAAATAGTTATTTAAAATTCCTGCCTTTTCCTGGTCTTCATTAACTAACACCCCCGTTTCAGTTTTTAGTGTACCTACACTTTCATTTTGTTTTTTTTTAGAATTTATGTACTTAAAAAAATGCTTTGGGGTTGGTTTTGCTCTATTCAGCTATCATTATTTCATTTTGAAGTTTAGCAAGTCTAATTGCCTTTTTGCACGCATTATTTGCATCCTTATATGAATGTTGTATACACCTATATATTGTGTATTTTTTTTTATGTGCTACATCATCTTGAAAAAAGCCCTGTTAGGGCTGAAACGTTGCTTTGTAGTTCTTGGTTCAAATAAATTGCCTTAATTTTGAGATCCATCTGTATAGACTGGGATTGCTGGTTCGTCTGTTTTGCCTTTTCGTGGAATTACCCGTTCGTATGCCCCTGTTCACTGAATTGACTTTTCCGCTGAACAAAACAACCGAACGGACGGCCACGGATGGGAGTTTGAAACGCACGAATGGACTTAACCCAGATAGCCTTCCCATGGAGTCAATCGCATACTGAAGAACTGTAATAGACTTTGACTCCATGGCGATTGAACTATGCGTATGGGATCTGAGCGCTATTCGCCAATAATATGCACTCAGATCCAGGCTATCTGGGGATATGTGATACAAATGAGAAATGTTCGGCAATTATAAAGTTATGTATTTTAATGTGTTTTTTTGTGTTATATTTAAAATGGCGATTTGCCTCTGTCCTGGAGATAATTGAATTACTTCTCAATTATCTCCAGGGCAGAGGGGAGGAAACCATGATGCATGCTGGGAATATTATGTGCCTGTGTGTCCTAACATGCCATATGTCTGTCTGCTATTACAGTCTCCCATTTGGTCCCTTAGGGAAGTGTCCACCAAGTGGGAGACCTGCATAAATACGGGTGGGTAGCCCACAGTAAACCAAGTTCATGTTTTACACTCAATGCGGAGCTTGGTCTCGTTATTGGGGGGGATTTATTACCGACGACTAGAGACTGCTGGATGGGATTATTAGCCGCTTGGGAGATATATGCGTTCGGCTACTATCGGCGATTCGTGAGTTTGGAGCTAGTGAAGTGAAGTACCCATACGGGTCCCGTTCAGGAGATTACAGCGTTCCCCTGCTTGCGCTTCGTATGATTGCAGTTGATAAGAATGATGCCTGCGTTATTGCGAGAGGGGAGGATTCACTAAACAACGGTTTGTACATTTGATGCCGAGTGTACCACTACAGTAAACACTCCCACATACAGATTGTAATCCCTCCTCTCTATCCTGGAGATAATTGGGAAGTAACTCAATTATCTCAGAGGATAGAGGCAAAACTCAATTTTACAAGTGGCAATAAAAATACATAAAAATATATAACTTCTAAACTAACAAATGTATTATACACATTTAACGTATCCCCAGATAGCTTAGATCTGAGCGCACATTATTACTGAATAGCGCTCAGATCACACACATACAGTTCAATTGCCATGGAGCCAAAGTCTTTCCCATAGGCTTTCATTATACGAATGGGCTCCATGGCATAGCTATCTGGGGTATCACCACTCAAACAGGGCAAGCACCGAATAACCCGGCTTTTGTGTCTTTGCAGGGGGAAAATCAAGCGTTTCAACATGAGGCCATAGTATAAAGGCAGCAGGCGGGCAACCAGGCTCTTCCAATGCACAGTGGTGAGATTGGTCTCATCACAAAAGACAACTCTTTTCCGCAGAGTAGCTGTTGACATTATGGTTACGCAGGCACTTTGTTGACTCTAGAGAACCTCGGGCCAATCGCACATCCCCATGGCGGCGACTTTTCATTCGGATGTCATCCATATCAACTTTCGATTCCAGTTTCTGTGCCTACCATGGTGACCACGGGTAACAGGGAACCAGGGTTCCATTCCGTACAGGGACCCTGAGAAACGGCTACCACATGCAAGGAAGGCAGCAGCCGCGCAAATGACCCACTCCCGACGCGGGAAGGCAGTGACGACAAATAACAATACAGGACTCTTTAGATGTAATTGTAATGAGTCCACTTGAAATCCTTTAACTCTGATCAATTGGAGGGAAGTCTGGTGCAGAGCCACTGACCCATGCGTGCTGCAGCTGAAACTCCACTATCGCCTGCTGCTGCTCACACAGTCTCATGAGGCGGTGAGCGGGAAGGCCGAAATTACGCTGCAGCGCAGACAGGCAAGCAGCAGCAGGGTGACAACGCCAAAAGCGTGCGCAGCCGCTACCGTGAATGTCACATCCTGTTCCAAGTTACGGATCAGTCTGAAGATGGCTTCTGGTATCCAGTATACTTTTTACTAAGGCTGCATCAGGGTCCTGGTATGTGGCCGCACAAACGCTGGTGCTCAGCACCAGGGGGCGTGTGGTTACCCTGCTAATCCATTCCACACTGTGACTCCTAACTTCAACATACTGGGTCCCAGTCATTCAACTGCCGCCCAGACAGTGTCTGGGTCCTAGTCACGGGACCGCCCACCTGACTGTGAAACTACTAATGGATTGTTAAATCTGGTACGAACCCGAACTTTGCAGTTCGGGTTCGCTCAACTCTATTATGGATCCTTTGATCGCTACATGTATTACTTGGATAACTGGTAATTCTCGAGCTAATACACACGATGAGCGCTAGGAGACAGCCGCTCCGCTTTTGCACCCTGCTCCCTCTTATGCTGTGCTGGTGCCTCTGTGCGACCAGCGCCTCTTCCTCCAAGCTGCACATGTCACTCGCATGACCTTGATTCCATGTGGGGTCTAGGACCTCATCATCCTCCACATCATCTTCCACCCACACCTCAACCCTGCCCTCCTTGCCGGTATGCACACTGCAGAAAGCCACAGCAGTTGACACCTGTGTTTTTTCCAGCATGTAAAGTCTGCAAAGGACATATAGAAATTGTTTTAGAATTGTATCCAGGCAACAGTTTTCCCTATAAACTGACCTCTCAGTTTGACTTGTGAGGGTATTGCCCCAGAATTACAATATTGTTGAAGTACCTCTTTGCTACTGATAACTGGTTTAAATATAGCAGCTTGTTATCTGGTAGTTTCTGGTGTAGAAAATATCAATCTGTTTTCTATCACTTAGATCTGTGTAACAAGTGTTGTAGGTGTGAAACAATATTACAAGTGACCGATGTAGTAAATTCGAATCAAAGTTACGCTTCGATTTGACTCTCAGATATGAAGTGATCACCCCAAATATACTATTTAGCACCAAAAAAAAGCAGCAAAACAATTAGAATGTTTACAACTGCGCAGTAAGTGCACTATTTGATGCTTCTATTTGACTCTCAGATATGAAGAGCAGGCCCCAAAATGAACAATTTAGCAGATTAGCACCCAGAAAATAAGAATGTTTACCACTGCGTTGTAAGCACACTATTAGATGCTTCGATTTGACTCTCAGATATGAAGAGCAGGCCCCAAAATGTACTATTTAGCTGATTAGCACCCCAAAAATTTCTATGTTTCAAAACTGCAATGTGACAGCAGTATTTGACGCTTCTATTTGACTCTCAGATATAAAGTGCATCCCACCCCACTAATGTACTAGTTTGCAGAATTATTTCCTAAGCTGTCCCTCACAGCTGCAGCATCCTCTCCCTACACTAATAAGAGCTCAGTGTGTATGGCGCTACGCGACTCCAGCTTATATATAAAGTCTGGGTCACATGCTGCACTGGCCAATCACAGCCATGCCATTAGTAGGCATGACTGTGATGGTTTGTAAGGGCACAAGAGTCAAACGCTTGTTGATTGGCTGCCCTGCAGCCTTTGAATACGTGCCATTAATTCGCTGAACACAGTGATATGTCCATGTTCGGGTCCGGGGTCCAAAAAATTTATGTTCGGTACGAACCCGAACTTTACAGTTCGGGTTCGCTCAACTCTAGTTATAACCAAAAACACAAATCAGCACAAAAAAACATTTAACGGCAAAAAGGCACCACTTATGAATAATATATTTGTTTTAAAAATTGGAAGAAACACAATAGGGTCAGGAACACTGACCTTATATTGTTAAAACCACCATCTAGACGTACTGCCTCCCTAGCCCCCCTTTGCCTCCCTAAATATAGTAAAATCTTACTTTTATTCAAGTCTTAAGATGCTGCCTCTGCCCCTGAACTGCCTCTGTCTGCTGACATCATCAGAAGTGGTGGTTTGAGCCAATCATAATGCTTTCCCATAGGATTGGCTGAGACTGTCAAGGAGGCAGATCAGGGGCAGAGCCAATACAAGTCAAACACAGCCCTGGCCATCAGCATCTCCTAAAAGAGATTTATTGAATCAATGCATCTTTATGAGAAAAGTTCAGTGTCTGCTTACAGAGGAAGCCCCTCTAGCATCCATCTGAGGAGTGTTCAGTGGAGTTATCACTGTAATGTAAACACTGCATTTTCTCTGAAAAGACAGTGTTTACAGCAAAAGCCTGAAGGGAATGATTTTACTCACCAGAACAAATGCAATAAGCTGTAGTTGTTCTGGTGACTATAGTGTCCCTTTAATAATGTGGGGAACAAAGTGGGCAGATTTTGATCATATATAATGCTTAAAGGAATACTCTCTCACATACATCTCATTGAAGTGTAAGTCATTATAGTTTTTGAGAAACTGCAATAATTACCTTGCAGGACTAGGACTGCCTCTAATGGCTGTCAGACAGCCACCAGTAACCCTTCCTGATGGTAGCAGATTCTAAATCCCCTGGGCACTTATCCAAGACTTATTTTTATCTGGCTCTGAGTACACTACACTGTACATGCAAATGCAATGCATGCATATGTATATAAATAAAATAATGTTGTTTCAAGTGTTCTGCTGGGTGGCCGCCATTCGCATGAATGAACACGTGGGAAATTTGTTGGCAACCATCTTGACGCACGAATGCAGGCAGCGGTGTTTGGACGTCGAGTGCGTGGAACTAAAATCGGACAGACTAACTTGAGAACCCCACTATACCATCACCTGCTTCTTTTCAAAATGAACTAGGAGAACACTGTTCATTAGTTTTGTTTGCACGAACTAGGTGAACAATCGCTACCTATGAGTCAGGAGAAAGGTTCGTGCTTATTTTATTTTGGGACTCCAAAAAGTGTATAACCGCTACCACTTTTCTTATGGAACCATTTTGGGCAGATGCCACGTGTGCGATTGGTCAAAACTTTACACTGGTGGCGATTCGGCTATGTTCGTGGTATCTGAGAGCTATTTGGATATGTTGGGCACTCAGATCCAGGCTATCTGGGGATAAAGGACTTGTCTGGGTCCCTTGCATTATTGTGTATGTTTTGAGATGTTTAATATTTTGTGCACTGTACTCTGCTTAGCTTAAGCAGAGTACACTCAATTATCTCCCAGACACAGAGACTACGGGGAGGAGTCTGTTGTTACGGACGACCTACAGACCAATAAGGGATTACTTTATTTTAAGTTACTGTATGCTGTTCTCTTCGGTATTATTGTTGTATACACCCAATTACACAAACAACCAGAAGCATATATTCGTGCATGCGAACTAAGACCACCCAGCCCTTGGTGTGTGCCGCCACTTAACCTTTTTCACCTTTAAAACAACCGAACGGACGACCACCGGGAAGCTGCGGTTTGCAATTAACCACAAACTTAATTGACTGCCTCAGGGTGGCCTCGTTCATATAAGACTTCACCGTACTCAAACTCCTGAACGAGGACCACCTATACTCCGGCGTGTGTCCTCAATCAGAACGTTGAGGCTGCGGTTAACCGCAGGCTAATTGCCCCTTCAGGGTGGTCTGCGTTCGGTCCACGAAGGGCTGAGACATCCATCTAATGAATGGTATTCGCACAGCAATGCATACAAAGTAATAGGTGGAGCTGTATAGTGTCCTGAATAATCTGTAAAACTGAATACAAATAGCGTAGAATGTCTGGACAGATAAATGCTGGAAAAGTAGAAATAAAATAGTTAAAATCACAAGACTAGAGTCATACCGTCATATGACTCTAGAAGTATGCTCCTTTGGACCATTAGGGGGTTGTCCAGACCCTTCTGTCGTTGGTTACTGGGTACTCCTCCTTATGATCCTTTAGGTGTCTCCCAAGGAATGCTCAATATTTTGGTTGTTCTTTAAAAGTAGTGTTTCTTTATTTTCAAAAATAAAATGTTGACAAAAGTAAAAAATTAACAAAAATACTATACCAATCGATATTGAGTATAGATGAAGTCCTGCGTAGGTTAAAACAAGAGTGTCCAAAAAGCGTTTCGCCTGATGAACAGGCTTCCTCAGTTGGCTCTGTGGTATTTCTTTAGTTGCTCCTTTCTAAAGTAAAATTCTGTCTGATTTCGCCGCTTTTATGCGGCACTTCCGGGTTCCGGCCGCTGGAACGCAACGTGCGTTCCGACGCCGGCATTCATTTCCGGGTTCCGGCCGCCGGAACGCAACATGCGTTCCGGCTGGCTAATTACTGCCTCCATTCATCAAACCCCACTACCAAGTAGCATTATCAAGGTCCCATATCATCATATGCTTTTTAGCAAACCAAAAAAGGGGGAAAAAGAAGAAAGAGAAAAAAAAAGGGAGAAAAGTTCTGCCAATACTTCTAACATTGGTCTATTAACTCATCATCAGTATGTCTTAAAGTAATCTTGCTATGGTGTTTCTGTCCCAAACACTAGCCAAGGTTCCCATGTCCTAACATAGTCGTCTCTCTTCCCCTGAATGGCCCAGTGAACTTCTTCAAGTTCCCTCAAAGCTTCCACTTTAAGAATCCATTGTTCTTTAGTCGGGATACTAGGTTTAAGCCAATACAACGGGATCAAAGCATTTGCCTCATTCAATAAATAACTCAGCAATGTGTGTTTATTACTCTCCTTAAAGAAAGCTGGCCATCCTAATAGAATCTTAGATGGGGTTAGTTGATCAGGCATTGGTAAAATTTTATAGATGACCCTCAATACCTGTAAACAATAGCTCCTAATAAGTTTGCACTCCCACCATATATGTTCCATATTCGCCCCCCTCTCACCACATCTCCAACAGCCATCCAAGGCTGGTAAACCGTATTTTTTAAGTCGATCTGGGGTATTGTACAATCTAATAACTCTTTTAAAAAATATAATTTTCCTAGGAATGCTCATCTGGGCTTTCATCCCCATTTTGAACACAAATGACCAATCATTGCATGTTCAAACCTTGCATCAATTTCAATTGAAATGAAGGGATAGTCTTCTCCATAGCTCCCTTGTGAATTAGACTACATATACTGGACAGATACCGTTTTTTCTCTATCCCAGGACCACAAAGTGACTCGAACTCTGTTCTATCTCTCGTCTGCCAATATGGTAACACTTTTTGGTTTAAGAAAAACTTTAAATACATGATACCCATTCTATCTGTGACGAGACCAATCTCGCCACATTGCTTTGGAGAAGCCTGGTTGCTCGCCTGCTGCCTTTGGACTATGGCCCCCTGTTAAAAGACATCTTTTTTACCTGCAGAAAAGCTTCATTCGTGCTTTTCTGCCTGGGGTTCGGTAGATTTGTTTGAATGTGTTATACCCCAGATAGGAATCCCATGGAGCCCATTCGTATGAAACTGACTGTAAAGACTTTGGCTCCATGGCGATTAAACTGTATTCATGTGGTCTGAGCGCCATTCACTTAATAATGTGCGCTCAGACCTGAGCTATCTGGGGATATGTTAAATGTATAGTTTTAATGTAAGGTGTCTTACCTGATGTATTTTAAAGTGTTTTACTGTCTTTGTGTCCCCATGTGCTCAATGGAGTCTGCCTCTATCCCTGGATAATTGGATTACTTTCCCCATTGTCCAGGATAGAGGGCTCTGTAAAACCTGTTTGAGCCAGATAGCCATGCTGCCAGCCAGGGTACAAAAGATACTTTTTACTAACTTTTGAACCCCTGGTCTGATTCATGCCATTTTTTAATATGTTGTTCCCCTGAATGGATTGATTGTGCATATGTAATTTTATGTGAATGTGATGTATGGTTTTAGAGTTATGAAAGTTGGGTAGAAAGTATGTTTTAACTGTATGTGTAATTGAGTTTCCTCTCAGGATAAGGGGAGGGAATATGTGGGATGTAACTGTGATGTGATTGGTTGTTTTATACCTCTCTGTGGGCGGTCCTGTATTTGAAAGACTGTGTGACGAGACCAATCTCGCCACATTGCATTGGAGAAGCCTGGTTGCTCGCCTGCTGCCTTTGGACTATGGCCCCCTGTTAAAAGACATCTTTTTTTACCTGCAGAAATGCTTCATTCGTGCTTTTCTGCCTGGGGTTCGGTAGATTTGTTTGAATGTGTTACACCCCAGATAGGAATCCCATGGAGCCCATTCGTATGAAACTGACTGTAAAGACTTTGGCTCCATGGCGATTAAACTGTATTTGTGTGGTCCGAGCGCCATTCACTTAATAATGTGCACTCAGACCTGAGCTATCTGGGGATATGTGAAATGTCTGTGTGTTATGTGTAAAATGTGACTTTATGTATTTTAAAGTGTTTTGTGTCTTTTGCAACCATGTGCTTAATGGAGTCTTGTGTCTGTCCTGGGAGATAATTGAATTACTTATCTCCAGGATAGAAGACTCTGAAACTGGTTTAGGCCAGAAAGCCATGCTTCATTTAGTCACAAAGGACTTTTTACTAACTTTTGAACCCCTTGTCTGATTTGTGCCATTTTTGAATATGTTGTTCCCCTGAATGGATTGATTGTGAATATGTAATTTTATGTGAATGTGATGTATGGTTTAGAGTTATGAAAGTTGGGTAGAAAGTATGTTTTAACTGTATGTATAATTGAGTTTCCTCTCAGGATAAGGGGAGGGAATATGTTGGATGTAACTGTGATGTGATTGGTTGTTTTATACCTCCCTGTGGGCGGTCCTGTATTTGCAAGACTGTAATAAAAACCAGGCTGGGTGTGCCAGCACCTCAGACCACTGCTTGACCCTCAACACGGAGCCTTGTCTCGTTCTTGGGGGGATTCACTGTATGCTGTTAGAGACTGATTGCCAGGAGTGTAAGCTGTTCTTCTGCTTTTCCTGTTCGTCTGCTAGCAGCTATTTGGGAGGTTCCAGTTCGGGAGTTGGAGTGCTATTTTGTATCCAGTTCGGGAGTTTTGGTGTTCTGCAGTAGCTGTGCCTGGATCTCTGGAAAGGGGTCCGATCGCCTAAACGTTTTTTTCCCCTTGTGTTCAAAACGGTCCGTTACAGACTGTAATAAAAACCAGGCTGGGTGTGCCAGCACCTCAGACCACTGCTTGACCCTCAACACGGAGCCTTGTCTCGTTCTTGGGGGGGATTCACTGTATGCTGTTAGAGACTGATTGCCAGGAGTGTAAGCTGATTGTCTGCTTTTCCTGTTTGTCTGCTAGCAGCTATTTGGGAGGTTCCAGTTTGGGAGTTGGAGTGCTATTTTGTATCCAGTTCGGGAGTTTGGTGTTCTGCAGTAGCTGTGCCTGCATCTCTGGAAAGGGGGCCGATCGCCTAAACGGCTTTTACCCCTTTTGTGAAAAACGGTCCTATAACTATCTATAAGAGCTGTCATATTGTCCCAGGAAGGGAACTCTCTTAATCTAATGGGTGTTCCATGTGTTATTAAACTTGTTACTGAAGGGTCTGCTTCTCCTCTTAACTTTTCCAGTAGTTGGTGGCCCGGCCCAAACTGGAAATCCAAGTTAGATGCAATTGGGAAGAATACAGATAATCCCGGGGATAACCCCCATTTATCTTTAAGCCTTCTCCAAGTATGTATGGTGTGGTTTATAATTGGATGTTTAGAGGGTGATAATAAATCTAATTTACAATTCTGCCAAGGCAGGGTCTCCAACTTAACCTTTATAAAATCCTGTTCTATCTTGTACCATGGCTTTTCCTTATCAATAGCTGTCCATTCTCTAATTCGCGCACATAATACTGTGACATAGTATCTATAAATATGCGGGAGGCCCAAGCCACCTCCCTCAACTGGTAATGTCACTATATCATACGCAATACATGGAGTTTTATTATTCCATATGAATGAAAGGAATGTAGATTGCAGTTTTCTAAAGAAATCTCTCGGCAGTGAAACAGGCAATGTCTGAAATAGGTATAATACCTTAGGTTGTATCATCATTTTTAGGATATTTACTCTTCCGATCAATGAAAAGGAGGCCCATTATTTTTAGATCTTCTTCAATCTTTCTCATTAATTTTCCATAATTCAATTTAAATAAATCTTTAAATGTACTGTCAGTTGTGTCCCTAAGTATGTTATACTAGTATCTGTACACTTATATTTATATAGCTTTTGTAATTTCTCTTTAATTCCTATATTTATCCCCACTCCCAGTATTTTGGACTTATCTTCATTTACTTTAAAATTAGATAAGCCACCAAATTTCTCCAATTCTTCATGAACATAAGGAAATGTATATCGGGGTTCTATGAGCATAAATAAAACATCATCGGCAAAAGCGGTTACTTTTACCTCTCCTCCCGTATACTTATATCCTTTAATGTCAGTATTCTTTCGTATGGCTTTGAAGAAAGGTTCAAATGCTAAAACAAAAAGAGGGAACAATGGACAACCATGACAGGTGCCGTTGCTAATAAGAAAAGGGTTGGAAAGTTGACCATTAACACTGACATTAGCTGAAGGACCTCTATACAATGTCTGTACCCAATTGCAAAATCTCAGACCAAGTCCCCATGCCTCTAGAATTGCAAGCAGATAGGACCGATCCACCCTGTCAAAGGCCTTCTTAGCATCTCTAGTTAACAGAGCTATAGGACATTTATTTGTTATAGCTCCATGTATTACATTCAAGATTTTAGTAGTATTATCTCTGGCTTCACGGCCAGAGACAGTCAGCTTGATAGGCTTAAGCCTATTTGCCAAGAGTTTTGGAAATATTTTTAAATCAACGTTAATAAGAGAAATAGGTCTATAACTACTACATATTTCTTGATCTTAACCTGCTTTATGTATCACAGCAATTACTGCTTTCAAAATTGGTGGCGGAATGTCAATAGTTGGAGATAGACCATTAAAAGTTCTAAGAAAATGTGGCTCAAGGATGTTATGGAATTGTTTATAATAGCGTGCCGATAGGCCATCTGGCCCAGGGCTTTTATTAAGAGGCATTGCCTTTATCACTGCCGAAAGCTCCTGAAGGGAGAACAATTCCTCCAATTGGGCTGATGTTTCTTTAGAAATTTTTAATGGAATATTTTTAGATAGATATTGTTCTTTCGTATGGGGTCTTCTCAGGGGGCTTTAAATTATAAAGGTCTTGATAATAATTACTGAAAGTGTTTGCTATTTCCTCAGTAGTATTACAAATTTTCCCTTGTTTATCTTTAATTTTGTATATATTTGTTTTTTGTAACTTTACTTTTAAGGCTTTAGCTAACAGTTTCCCACTTTTATCCCCATGTGTATAAAATGTACTTTGTGTCAACTGGATCGCTCTTTGGGCCTCATAAGTCAATAATGACCTCAGCTTAGATCTAATTGCCGATAAACATTTAAAATTTTCTTCAGTTGGAGTTTTTTTTTTTTTTTATTGTGGTAGCCCACAAAATATTGTGACATACAACAAAAGAAACATTTGCGGCCTGCGATGCATTTCTTGCAGTCCTAATGCATGGAGAAATGCTCAACTCCTGATGCATGGAGAAAAGGCCTTCACAAGCCTCTGCTAATGTGTATCTAGTTTATACTAAGTGACCCATATGTTGAGGAGGTGGTGACCGTGGCAGTGGAGGAGGAGGATAAGGTAGCCAACACTTTATTTTTTTATAAAAAAAAAAAAAATATATATATATATATATATATTTTAATTGGGGAAGCCCTTAAAATATTGGGACATATAAAAAAAAGACAAATCTGTTCCACAGAGTAGCTGTTGACATTATAGTTGCGCAGGCACTTTGTTGACTCTAGAGAACCTTGGGCCAATCGCACATCCCCGTGGCAACGACTTTGCATGCGGATGCCAGTTTCTGTGCCTACTATGGTGACCACGGGTAACGGGGAATCAGGGTTCCATTCTGTACAGGGACCCTGAGAAATGGCTACCACATGCAAGGAAGGCAGCAGGCGCACAAATGACCCACTCCCGACACGGGAAGGTAGTGACGACAAAAAACAATACAAGACTCTTTAGATGTAATTGTAATGAGTCCACTTGAAATCCTTTAACTCTGATCAATTGGAGGGAAGTCTGGTGCAGAGCCACTGACCCATGCGTGCTGCAGCTGAAACTCCACTATCGCCTGCTGCTGCTCGCACAGTCTCATGAGGCGGTGAGCGGGAAGGCCGAAGTTACGCGGCAGCGCAGACAGGCGAGCAGCAGCAGGGTGACAACGCCAAAAGTGTGCACAGCCGCTACAGTGAATGTCACATCCTGTTCCAAGTTGCGGATCAGTCTGGTGATGGCTTCTGGTATTAAGTACTCTTTTTACTGAAGCTGCATCAGGGTCCTAGTATGTGGCCGCACAAACGCTGGTGCTCAACACCAGACCCTGCTAATCCATTCCACATTGTGACTCCTAACTTCAACATCAGGGATACTGGGTCCTGGTCATCCGACTGCTGCCCAGACAGTGTCTGGGTCTTGGTCACCAGACTGCCCACCTCACTGTGAAATGGATCATTAAATCTGGTGCGAACCCGAACTTTGCAGTTCGGGTTCGCTCAACCCGTTTATGGATCCTTTGATCGTTACATGTATTACTTGGATAACTGGTTATTCTCAAGCTAATACATGCCGACGAGCGCTAGGGGATGGCCGCTCCATTTTTGCACCCTGCTCCCTCTTATGCTGTGCTGGTGCCTCTCTGCGACCAGCACCTCTTCCTCCAAACTGCACATGTCACTCGCATTACCTTGATTCCATGTGGGGTCTAAGACCTCATCATCCTCCACATCATCTTCCACCCACTCCTCAACCCTGCCCTCCTTGCCGGTATGCACACTGCAGAAAGCAACAGCAGTTGGCACCTGTGTTTTTCCAGCATGTAAATTCTGCAAAGGACATATGGAAATTGTTTTAGAATTTCCTCCAGGCAACATGTTTCCTTATAAACTGACCTCTCAGTTTGACTTGTGAGGGTATTTCCCCAGAATTACAATATTGTTGAAGTACCTCTTAGCTATTGATCACTGGTTTAAATATAGTGTTACGATTGCCTCCGGTCTAGCTGGAGGTTGGATCGCTTAGATGTCCTGGTTCCCGAAGTTATGGGGTCGAACCAGGGCCGGACTGGCCCACCGGGATACAGGGAAATTTACCGGTGGGCCGCGGCTCCTGGGGGCTGCGCATATAGGTGCCACCGGGTGGCCGGTCCAGTGGCACACTCAGAGGGGGCCGACAGTGTTCCAGGCTGGGGATTGTGCTGGGGATTGTGGGAACATGCTCCTCCTTCAGCCATCAGCATCGTCAGTGACAGGAGTGCCGCCGGACCGGAGAAGCTGCCACCCGGCCCAGCGGCTCCAGCCTGGAACTCGGCCGGCCCCTCTGACTTCTCTAGGTAAAGGGGGGGGAATAAAACAGAGAGGGGAATAGAGAAATGGTGGAGGGAGAAACACAGGGGAAAAAAGATTTGGAGGAGGGAGAGACACAGGGAAAGGGGGATAAAGAGGCAGAGGGGGAAGAAAGACTGGGAAGGAGAGGGGAGACATTGACACAGAGGAGCAGTGAGGGGGAGAAAAACATACAGAGTGACTGGGGGAGACAAAAAGGCACACAGAGGGGCTGGAGATAAAGAGACACACATAGGGGCATTATATATCACTGGTGGATGGGGGGCAACGGGGAAATCCCCCCCCCCACGAGGCTTTCACCTGCCGGCAGATATCCCTCCCCGTTACGCAGGCACCGTGCAGGCAGCCAGCAGGGGAGGAAGAGAGGACCCGGGGCAACGCTCCGACTCTCACGAGGGTGAACTCTAGCCCTGGAGCTACGGGCTAGCGTTCACTCTCACCACTTCCTGGTGGTTGCAGTAGTGAAAGTGAACTCTAGCCCCATACACACACTGCCCCCACACACACACCATACACATTCACACACTGCCCCCACACACCATACACATTCACACACTGCCCCTCCGCACCCACACACTGAACCTTTCACACACATTGCACCCCTCACACATTGCACCACTGCTCCTATATCCTACTACAGCCCCATATCCCAGCAGACTCCAGGTAAGTTGTCAAACTGTTCTTAAATGGTTTGACTACTTACTCTGGGAGGGGGTCCTGACACAGAGGAGTAGTGGTTATTGTGCATGGAATATTTCTTATCTGCAAAATTATCTGCAAGTGCCCCTCTCGGGCTCAGGCTCTGGATCCGCCAATGGTAAATGACATGTATATTAATGTGTGTATTAGTTATATTTTTATATATTTATATATATATATATATATACATATATATATATATAATTATGCCTATTATATTTACACATATTAATGTACATTTATATATGCATAATACACAGAGAAATGTCATTAATATGTACCATATGTAATGAGCAGATATTGGCCCAGTCTTGTTGCTAGGTGCATACTCAAGCACAATAACATTTTTAAAGTGAAGAGCACATCCACAGGACTTCAAAATAAACATTTTTTACAGTTGTGCCCTACATACACTCACCATTTCAGTCCCATTAACAAGCTTTCCTTAATATGTCACGGCAGTTGGACTGAAACATTGATTACATGCAAAGGCACGTCTGCTTAAAATAAATCTGCACTTTTGTTTATTTTGAAGCCTATGAGTGCGCTTTTTACGTTGAAGTACTTTTTAATTTTAAGTTATCTGTTCTAACTCTGTATCTGCACACTATGCTGGCGCGACGCATTATGGGGCTGGTAAATATTTATTTTCCAGGGCTGCTTTTAATTCCCAGTCCGGCCCTGGGTCGAACGGTACTTCAATCGGTAGAGACCTGTAAGTGTAGAATATCCCACTAGCTATAATAAAGCTAGGATTCCCGGTTCCCTACAACACGAGTCAAGGCTGCGAGTTGAGGGTAAAACGAACTGGCTTTATTGGCACACAGGCATGGCAATTTATGCAAGTCCCCAGGTCCAGGGACAGCCCCCTCTGGACCTGATGGGATACAGGTACAATACAAGGATTCAACCAATCATATTACACTGTATCATTCAAACTAGTACTTGCCCAGCTTGGAGATAATGAGTTCAACGGTTATACAATCTAATTATCTCCAAGCACCCAAAAGACCTTTATTTTGTCCTAGAAAACAGCATAAAAATACATAACTTTAATATTTTAATGGGAATATAGTTAATTCGACTATTCATTTGGTAGCTCAGATCTGGGCGCATCAGGTATACGAATTGCGCCCAGATCCCACGAACAGAACAGAGTTTCTGCCATATAAAGTCTTATTCGGTGCTTTTGTCATGAACTCCTGATGGCGGCCATGTTTTAAGGCTGGTCAATGGACAGCGGGACCTCGACCTAGAACTCATGGAGCGGGTGTCGGCTACATATTTACACAATTCCCGCTCTCAGTATGGTTGTCCCAGCCGTTCGGGAAACGAACGGAGACCGCCCAGAAGGGGGTACTTAACCTGCGGTTAACTGCAAGATCAACATTCTTATTGGGGCCACACGCCAGATTGTAGGTGGTCCTCATTCGTGAGTCTTTCGGTAGTTTTCCCCTTCAGTGAAATGTATCCGAACGTGGATGCCCTGCAACCGTCAATTAGTTTGTGGTTAACAGCAGACCGCAGATCCTTTGGTGGTTAATTGGAGGCACACTCTGCTTGTAGGGTGGTCGGTTATTCGGTACTTTCAGAGGTGACCGGGGTTAAGTGGTGGCACATGCCAAGGGCTGGGTGGTCCGTAGTTCGTATACATGAATGTGTAGTTATAATGGTTCGTGGAGTGAGTTCATACAGTCTGAATCCCGAACATAGTATGGGTTTTAACAAAAGGGGGTTACTTTATAACAGTTTTGAGGGTTCTTGTAACATATAGCAACTTGTTATCTGGTAGTTTCTAGTGTAGAAAATATCAATCTGTTTTCTGTCACTTAGATCTGTGTTGTAGGTGTGAAACAATATTACAAGTGACCGATTTAGTAAATTTGAACCAAAGTTACGCTTCGTTTGACTCCTAAATATGAAGAGCAGGCCCCAAAATGTACTATTTAGCAGATTAAAACCCAGAAAATAAGAATGTTTACCACTGCACTGTAAGCACACTATTAAACGCTTCAATTTGACTCTCAGATATGAAGTGCACCGCAGGCCCCAAAATTTACTATTTAGCAGATTAGCAGCAAAACAATTAGAATGTTTACAACTGCGCAGTAAGCACACTATTGGACGCTTCTATTTGACTCTCAGATATGAAGTGCACCCCACTAAAATACTATTTAGCAGTTTAGTACACAAACATTTTTAAGTTTTAAAACTGCAATGTGACAGCAGTATTTTACGATTCTATTTGACTCTCCGATATGAAGTGCACCCCACACCACTAGTGCACAAGTTTGCAGAATTCTTTCCTAAGCTGTCTTTCCTAAGCTATCAGTGGCAGCATCCTCTCCCTACACTAATAAGACCACATGTGCGTGTGACCCAGCCTCTATATATAGAGGCTGGGTCACATGCTGCACTGGCCAATCACAGCCATGCCATTAGTAGGCATGGCTGTGATGGCTTCTAAGGGCACACAAGTCAAACGATTGTTGATTGGCTGCCCTGCAGCCTTTCAAAACGCGCCAGTAAATCGCCGAACACCGAACTCCAACCCGAAAATACAGTGATATGTTCGGGTCCGGGGTCCAAAAAACCTAATGTTCGGTACGAACCCAAACTTTACAGTTCGGGTTCGCTCAACTCTATTTGTGGGTTTTACGGTAGTTATGTTGTTCCAGTCCAGTGCTTATGGTACTCGCCAGTACTAGGAAGCAGCGATTGACGGAGGTACCCGGTTTGGGTGCCAGGCAGTCCGTCATGTGTATGTATGTCAGTATGTGTGTATGTATGTGTATGTCTGTGCGTATGTGTGTCAGTATGTATTTGTTTGTATATATTTTAGAATGTTTGTCTGTCTTTCTGTATTTCAGTATTTATGTATGTCAGTGTAACAAAACCCTGTTATTGCCTGGACCACAGACTGTAACATTGTAAACCCCCTGGATTCGTTACTTTTATTTTGTTGCCAGTTTTCTATTTGAAAGCATACGAATGGGAAAACGAATGACATTTGTAACCAGTTAGTAT